CAGGGATGAGAGGTGGGAGGGAAAGGGAGTGAGAAGGGAAATTGCATGGAAATGGAAGGCGATCCTCAGGGTTATACAAAATGTCATATAAGAGGAAAGGAGGGGTAAGACAAGAGAATACAAATGGAAGAAATGATCTACAGTAGAAGGGGTAGAGAGAGAAAAGGGGAGGGGAGGGGAGGGGAGGGGAGGGGGGATAGTAGAGAATAGGACAGACAGCAGAATACATCAGACACTAGAAAGGCAATATGTCAATCAATGGAAGGGTAACTGATGTGATACAGCAATTTGTATACGGGGTAAAAGTGGGAGTTCATAATCCACTTGAATCAAACCGTGTAATATGATGTATTAAGAACTATGTAATGTTATGAACGACCAATAAAAAAAAATAAAAAAATAAAATAAAAAAATAAAAAAAAGAGGAATCTAATAAATATATGAAGAGGTAAATTCAAGGGAAACTGGAAAATAATTGGGTCATATAATTTCCACTGCCTTAATGGGGCAGGATTGAGCATGGGCACAGCTTCCAGTACTGAGAGGAGGCTCAGAATCGAAAAAGAGTTAAGGCTTGCTCTCCTGCAGCTTTACTATACTGGAACAACAAAGAAGAAACAGGGACCAGCAGTAGCAGGTAGAGATTCCATACTTGAGTACTGAAGAAAACCCACACACAGGTTTTCAGCGACCAGTTAAAAGCTCATGGGGATAAATAGCTTACATTGATATTTTGCATATTTTCCTGGTCATAGCAAAGAAATTATTTTTATTTTTATTTATGAAAAAAAATATCTTTGATATATTCTCCTGGGATTGTTAGACCTTGGCACAGAGACCTCCCTGACGATGGACAGTCACCTTGCATTCACCAGGTGTGTTCATCTTCAGTCCTTACGTACAGACTGTGTCCTGCCTACAGAGCCCTAAAAGACCAAAGTGCTCAGACACAAACATATAGCAGCAACACACTGACTCAGAACAGTAGCAAGCAAGGTGCAATTAGACACTCAGCTGCCCTGACCTGGTATATTATCTACTAAAGAGCAGATAATGGATGTTGGTGCAGTGTGCATTGTCTTTATAAGAAACTATTGATGTGATTTTGTGTAGAGTGGCCCTGAGCAAGAGGACAGCAGCATCTAACCTGTCAGAGGGTATATTTCCCATGCTAGAAGCCTCTTAGTTGCTATTGAGTGCTATTCTGAGTACTGGATGGGCTAAATGTAGAAATCTAGGGAAAAGGGGAGTTAAGGGTCCTCCTGGATATTTTGACCTCTTGACCACTGTCTCTGAGACTACTAACTTCCACACTGAAAATCCTCCCAGTGAACTGACATCAGGACCCTTGGCTGCCTGGTTGTATCAGCCCTTAGCACTGCTCCCACTTCAAACTGCTCAGTCTCCCTGCCCAAGGGCTCTGGGAAGTACACTTTCTCCATCAGCCTACCCCCACCTCCAGCCACAGATACTTGTCATTCAATAAGAGCAATGAGGAGCCGTATTGTGTTCTCTCTAGCCAGACATCCTCAAATAGCCCTTAGTACTCTTATTTGATAACTGCTCTAGGTGTTCTGATTCTATCATATCGGAGTTGAAAAGACCAAAGTGCAGGACATGGAGTCGCTTATGTGCTCAAGGTCACTGTTGGTCATGGGGATGGGGCTTGAACCCAGCTGTAAGCTCTGAGCCACAACACCAAGTGTGTCTCATGGAGCTGCAGATTCTGGGCTCTGTGTACATGACAGTGAAGAAAACACGATCTCTAACCTATAGAAACTTCCATCGTGGTGAATGACTTGGACAGGTTAAAAGACAAAGGTCGAAATGAGAAGGACCATGAGAAAGAAATGTAGAGGGGGTGAGAGTGCATGGGGAAGGAGGCAGCCAATGACAAGTTTCCTTGAGGTTCCAAGGAAAGAGGTTCAAGGATTCCAAGCAAAGAAACAAGACATATGCAGACCCATAGCCCAGAGCCCATGGCAGATTTGGGAAGTATGTAGAATACAGTATAGTCTAGGAGAAGCAGGCAAAGAAAGCAAGTTAGAGAATGGTCCGAGAGGGGCCTGTGTCCATACTAAGGAGTTTAGTTTTATCCCGAGGGCAATGAGAGCCCCCCAAATCTGGAGAGGAGATCTGTGCTTTAAATAGGAGATCCTGGAAGTAGATGGAGGAAAGTCTGGGGGAGGCAAGCCTGCATGAAGAGAGATGAGTAGGGGTGTCCTTGCGATGGTCCAGGGCAGATGGTGTGAATTAACCCAAATCAGATTGAAAGGTATAGAGGAGTAACAGCTGACCCCACTGTGGATGGGCTAGATGTGGAAATCTAGGGCAAAGGGGAGTTAAGGGATATTTGGTGGGCAGGAATGATACTATTCATTAATAAAAGCCAAGAAAGATGCTATTTAGGGAAATAAATGAGGCGTTCCATTTGGGAACTTCTGAATTTGAAGGTTTTCTGTAATAGACAAGTGGAAGTGTCCCTTTGCAGCCTAGAGCAGGGGAGGAGCTCTGTGAGCCTGTGGATTTAGGGAACATCAGCACTAGGTGGAAGCTGAATTCAGAAGAGAGAAAGAACTTGTGTAGGGCTGTGGAAACACAGAAGGAAAGAGGGTCAAGAACAGGACCTTGGGGAACGTCAGCAATGAAGGGACAGGTAGAGAGAAACAAAGGCTGTAAGGATGATGGGGAAGATTGGCCAAATGATAAGAGGTGAATCAAGAACGTGCTGCCACAGGGGCCAGAGGAAGGCTGCTGTAAGAAGTAAGTGACCAAGTGATCGATAGGGATCACCAGAGGATTTAGCAACAAGGTTATCAGAGGGGAAGGTGCAACCCAGTCACAGGAAGCTGATAAAGGAGCAGCAGTTGAGAAAGCACTCACAGTGAGGGGAAAGGATGAGGGGAGAGTCCTGTGGCTGCTGCAAAAGACATGTTGCTTAGTATCAGAGTTCATCTGTCTTACTATGTCTTTTTTTTTTTAGTTGTATTTATTTATTTTTATGTGGTGCTGAGGATCAAACCCAGTGCCTCACATGTGCTAGGCAAGTGCTCTACCACTGAGCTACAACCCCACCCCCGTCTTTCCATGTTTTATGCTCTGGTGCCTCCTTTGCATCCTTCACTACTCTTGTGCTTTGGCGCCATTACTAAGTGAAGCAAGGATTTTTTGAACAGAAGCATTACAAAGCAAGATTGTCAACTGAGAGCAGAGATGGCTACTAAGTGATTATCGGGCAGGTAGAGTATACAATGTGGATACTGTGGACAAAGGGATGATTCATGAACTGTACAGGATGGAGTGGGACAACATGACATTTCATCATGCTATTTCTATTGGCATGGAATTTAAACTTATTATTTAAATTATTCTTATTAAATTATTCTTATTCTGGAATTTTCTACTTTTGAATTATAATTGCTTGAGACCACTGAAGGGGGTACTACTGCACACTCTACTTGAGATCCAGTAGTCCTGGTTTGACTCCCAACCCTCTCTTTCTAGTTGTTTAGCTTTGCTCTCTGACCTTTAGCATCTTCATCTTAAAATAAGACTAACGAAGCTAGTCCTTTAGAATTGTTTGGGGCTTCAAATGAAGCTTTGCATAGCAAGAGGTCAACCAAATGTTAGTTTCTTCCCCTCTTACCTAACTGTTTTACCTGCTGAAGTTCTGACCCATTTCTTCTTGTCCTTTTACACCTAAACTCCCTCAATTTTGTGCTTTCTGTTGATATTTCTTTCCCATGTTCCTCTTCCTAATCTACACAATATGTCTGCCCTGCCCCATCCCTTTCACCTCAGTGAGGCCCTCCTCTGAATCTCAAGTGACTTAGATAAAGTCATTAGTTCCTGCCCAATAACCAGCTCTCTAGTCATTTCTCATATTTCCTGTCTAGTCATGCCATAGGCTTGGGTCCTCACATCTTCAAGACCTCCGCTCCTCTGATTTCTGAAGCTTTATGCTTTCCATTTCCTGACAGAGCAAGAATGTCAACTGAGAGCAGAGATGACTCCTAAGTGACCAACGGGCAGGTAGTCAGTGCACCAGCAGCAGCTAAAGCCACCACTGTCAAGGACTTATCCACCTTGGGGACTTTGCAGTCCCATCTCTCTGACTCCCAGATGTCCCCTTTGATAACTCCTGTTTTTCACTTTATACTTCCAAAGAATTTTAAAGTTATCTCATTTGCTCTGCTTGACAATCTTCTGAGATAGACTGAGTTGGCATTATCATCTCAATTTTACAAATAAAGATAAAAGGCTGAGGCCAGGAGAATTTAAGGGGCTTTTCCTGAATTCTAACCTGAGCTATATTCTCACACTTCTAYCTACAGCATAGTCTCACTTGGAGCTTCTGCCTCTGCCACAAACGCTGACTGAACTTATCCTTCTTTTCAAATAGATCCTGCTCAGACAGTAACCATTATTAGGACGTTTTCTTTAATTCTTCTTGCTCACATCTAATCAATTGGGCAGAATTATAGCTTCAAATTCCAACCTTCATTTACAAGAATAATATCACCATCCTAACCTCAGTCTATGAGAGCTGATGCCTAGAAACTAAAAGTGTCTCCTGACCTGTAACGATTGCTAGATTTAACTCATTAAAATGACATTTTCACTTCACTGTGAACCACCTATAATTGCCTATCAGACCAAATGCAAATTCATCAATCAAAAAGATAAGGCTTCCTACCACTGGGCTCCAGTGTCCCTGTATTCTCACAAAGAGTCAGCACCAAACATCTGGAAATTGCACAACAAGGTGACAGATGGCAGAAGGAGAACAGAGATCTGGGTCCTGTTCCACCATTTTCTAACTGGTTGGCCTTGGATAGAAACTTTGGGGAAGCTTATCTGTAAAATGGGGACAGTGAAGACCCTGACCCCGTATCTTTGTTGTTGTTGTTGTTCTTTTTAGTTACACACGACATTAGAATGTATTTTGACATATTTATACATCCATGGAGTATAACTTCCCATTCATGATGTGGAGTTACTTGGCGGACCCCATATCTGAAGGGGGCTCCAAGAGGAACAGATGGTAATGATGCAAGTGAAAGCGCTTTGGAAACCACGAGCTGGCTTTATCGTCATTGTTCCACTGCTCCTCAAGACCAGGCAGCTCAGACCTGGATTTGCGCTTCATCCACATGCCTGTGCCTTTCAGGCCGCTCTCTTCAGTCTCTGGCCTCCCTCTCCTCCCCATCTCCCCTTTCCCCAACCTGCTAAGAACTTAACTCTAGCTAGGCCAAATCTTCAACATCGATATTGCTTTCTGTGCTTCACTTTCCCCAACTGACACATCCCGCAGGCCCCACTTTTTAAAATGCTCTTATCGCACTTATAAACAAACTACCGCAGCCTAGGAGTAGTTCTTCACTGCTTTGGTAGATAGTGTTAGGCAGATAATACATCACGTTGCCCTCTATAGATTATCAGATTTATGACAGGAAGGGACAATCTCTTACTGATTTTGCATACCCTACCCTACCAAGCACATATCTGAGGGAAGTTGGTGAAGTGAGAAGGTACGAATGGTAGATCAAAATGACTTTAGTAAATATTTTAAAAAATGAATTTAAAGTCCATGATGTCTTGAATATTGGTATTAATAAAAATAAAATAGATCTTTGTTTGTAGAAAAGGCTGGTACTAGAGATATGAAAATCAGAAGAGTGAGGACATTTGGGATGAGGAAAATGAAACCAAGCTATAATGGGAATAAGAAGGAAAATGTTTTCGGGGAGCAAAAAGATCAATGTGACATTTCCAGTTAGACAGATTCCAATGTCATAATACAATAAGAAATCATATCAAAACCCAAAAACAAATTATCCAGGTAGGCCACGAAAGCAAGGTTATGAAATTTGGATAACTTTTCACTAAGCAAGTATGAAATTTGGAGGTATAAAAACATGATAGCAGCTTTTAAAGATCAAGTCATTCCTAAAGAACAAAAGTCACTCAGAGGGCTGGGGTTGTGGCTCAGCGGTAGAGCTCTCCCCTAGCATGGAAAAGGCACTAGGTTCTATCCTCAGCACCACATAAAAAGATAAATAAATAAATAAAGGTATTGTGTCCATCTACAACTAAAAATTATTTTTTAAAAAGTCACTCAGAATTATTTAATTGAATTTTGACTTTTTTTTAACCTAAGTTATATACAATTGGCCTTAGAAATCATCCATAAGGAAGATCCTATCCCTTTTCAGATGCCAGGCACCCACTGACGACATCCATCTTCCTGCTCCCTGCATTTAGTAACTCATTACAAAACATACAAGTGACTTATGGTGATCCCCATAAAATAAAGACTGCATGCAGGACTTCCCAAGTACCATCTATTGGTGACTTTGGACTTGCCAATTTGTTTTTCACTGAAGGCTCAGAAGAGCTCACTACAAGTGTTATCTGTGGATATTAAAAAAAAATTAAACATCTTTCCTCAGCTTTAAGAGGATCATTTTATATTATTAAACATAGAAAACAAGTTTCGCACCATATTTTTTTTACTCTTAAATTCTATATAAAATGTTGCACAAAATTTAATGACAGACAAAACTCTCTCACTTTGAGTGAGATTCCCTTGGTTTTCATTGTGAAAATCATTGGAACTTACAGACTGAATATTTAGGCTGAGATGTCATAAATCCCAGTGTGATGATGGCCAATCTTATAATCCTTCAAGTAGATTCTCACAGGCTTAACTCTAACCATTCTATTGTTGTGGGTTTGAATTCTCCACAGTAGGAGGATTCTGTTTTAATCATCCACCCTGCAATCCACAACTCTCCCCACAATCATGCTCTTCATTTTATCCAAAAACTTTAGAGCATAACTTGGATTTTAGCTCCCAGAGAGACTGTATACTGTGGATTCACAAATAGAACATTTCTTTTTATAGTTCATAGAAATGTTCAGAAGAGAAAGTTGGTGGAAAGTGAGAGAGTCAAACCTGCCACTTACTAGCCATAAAGTCTTGGCCAAGTGATTTGTCTTCTCTGAGCCTCAGTTTCCTCATCTGTAAGTGGCATAATGTAAGTGGCTCTCACACCCAGGGGGCACACCATGATGGTAACTATTATTATTAAGCTCAAATTAGGGACTTAGGAAAAGTATTCAGGAGGCAAAACTTTCTCACATAAAAGCAAGGGCTGGGGGATCATTTAATGACAATCATTGTGGAAGGCATGACAGCGCTTGCTCTCAGCTGCGCAGAAGCAGTAGGAGAAAAACAGGGAAAACCACAAACTCAGAAACTGAATCCTGGTCTTTCCTTGATTAATTTGATGAAGAAGGCAGGTAATTTTATCTCCCTGTGCCTCAGTTCCTAATCAGTAAAATGGAGATAATAATGATGCTAGTCCTTACTTCAAAGGATTGATTGTTGCAAGGATGCGTTGAGATGGTATATAAATAGCACTCAGGCCAGTGCCTGGGCCATAGAGAGCACTGGAAAAAGCTCCACGAAAAGTTTCAGCCATTGTTATTGCAAAGGCTCACAAACCAGTTCCCTGAAGTCATGCAGAGAGAATGCAACCCTCCAGAGGGGACAATTCCACAGCACGTTTATCTCTCAAAACCCCGGAGACCCCTGAGTCCTGAGTTAATGTAGTCCCCCAAACAGAGAAATCTGTTTTCAATCTATCATTGAAAATCTATTCTTGCAATCTGAGCTGCTAACCCAGAACTTAGCTAGAACAGGCCCCAAACGTCATGTTAGAAATGTGGTGTTTGGGATGGAGATGTTTCGGTCCTAGCAGAAATGAGATTCTGCTCTCAGAATTTTTTCAAAGAATTAAAATGAGTTGAGTTCTTGGAGACCAAAACAGAAATACAGATTAAAAACAACAAGACTGAGATTGCAACATCTTTTGAATGAGGAACTGAGCTGGTCTCTGGGCTCCCAGAGTACGTCGGGTAGAGGAGTGACCCACTCAGGGCCCTGTTTCCATGGAATCAGCACCTTGGAGAATTTTGCTGCTCCATTTCTTCCTCTGCTCTGTCACCCCCAAAGTACCTCAAAGAGCTGTGGAGTATAAGCCACTTCATGGGCCACCAGACTAATGACCCTTTGCTTGCTAAATGCAATTTGCTTTCACACATTGCATGACTCTGAAGTTACCACCTTGGCCCATTGGGAAAAGGTTTGTGGGCAGATCTACTGTAAACCAGACCATTAAATAAGCATTTATGGCTCTGGAAGTCTCCAGGGGAAGGATTTCTCCAATTGACTTTCTCTGTACTTTGGACAGCTCTGAGGTAGGCAGGAACTTCTCAGGAAAGGTCCAGGGACTCCATCGCTCACCTGTAGGGAGACTGGAGTCTCGCCCCTGGGGCCTGTGCAGAGTTTGCTGCATTTTTGCCCTCCTCTTCAGAGTTCCTGGAGTTCAGATGCTACATTTGGAAGTCTTAGAGCTCACAGGGCCCTCTTTTTTTGGATCCCAACCAAACTGTGGTTTGACTTGCCCTGGTGTTGAGTGGAAAGAAACCTGGGCATGTTACTCATGGGATTGCACAGATTTCCAAGGCTGAGCTCCTGAAGAGAGTCTCTGTTTGCCATTGGAGGAAGATCTAAGAAAATCCTGGCAGGAAGAATGGGCTAGTTTTAGTGAGCAATTGCCAAGACAGGCCAGCATCCCCGTGGGGCACCAAATGCACTGGGAAGTTTCTTTCTTGTCATTGCCTCATCTAATTATGGTGGAGGATGCCATGTTACCACACCTACTTCACCATCTCTCCTCAAATTCCTCCTTGGGAATCCCCTAGGGTTGAGGTGGGGCAGGGGGTTCAGAAATGTGGGAGGTTGATAATCCATTGTTGATCTGTCTGAGCTTCCTCCTGACTAAATTCCAACAGGTCCAGAGAAAGTTTAGAAAACACACACACACACACACACACACACACACATAACTTCTGAATTTCATTATGATGGTTTTCTATTTTAGTTCTAAAGACCAGACACACCATGCTGTATGATATAGTTTACCAAATAGAATGCTTTTTTTTAAATCATAGTACTTGAGTTGTCAACTTCAGCGATTTCTCCCCATTACTTATCCACATGTGCCCTTCAGTTTATATCTGCTTCCTTCTCTTTCTAGCACTTTCTCTGACCCATGAGAACTCCTGGGAGCCACCAGAGCCTTCCTTGCCTGGGTTCTGCCTGAGGTCCCTGGGACTTCTGAAAACTTTGTTAGGCCCAGTTTCTGGGTGGGGCTGGATACACACCATGCATTGGCTATGGCCTTCTTCCACTGAAAGAAGAACTTTGCCCAGACCACAGAAATGTGTGCTAAAATGACATCCGCCACCATAAATATAGTGTACCTGGACAGATGGAAGAAGAGACACCGAAGAAGACATATATTGTCAAAGCTGCCACAATGCCTAGTTTGGATGATAGTTTAACAATAGCTGCCTTTTTGTATCTTTTGAGGACAAACATTTCCCCTCCTTTGTTCTGATTGGTCAGTTTGCACATTCTCCACTGAAGTTCCTTTCTTGAGAATTTTCCTGTGCAAAAAGATGCCTAAGAATCATAGACAGATTTGCAGAGAACTGGCAAAACTGGAGTATTTCACAACTTCATTTTTTCTTGTGCTATATTAAGGGACAATGCTCCCTTAATATAACTGGTCCCCAGAACAACTGGCCCCAAGGGCTGTCTCAGAAGCAGAAGCCTGACAGAAGGCCAGCATCCAAACACGTGATGAGGCTTATGATGCCTCAGAACACAATGCCTGGCAGTATCTCTGACATCCTTCATCCCACCTCTGCTTTGCTAATTCCTTGTTCTCTCTCCATTATTTTTCAAATGCTAACTTTTCTCCCATCTTCATCCRTATTCAGCCACCATGATAAACAAGCACAAATCAATACAAAGAAAACACATATGGAGAGCTGTGAGCTCCTTGGAGATATGACTTCCTTTAAAAAAAAAAAAAACATCTGAGCAAGGAAGGTTGGAGATGTCTGTTATTAACCCAATAACCTAAGTAAGGCCACAGATTTGTTCTGCATCTGAGCCTCTGATTCCCAAGTGTTCTGATTTCAAGACAGAAGAAAGATCAGCAAGTGCTATCTCAGAAGCTATTATGGTTGGATATTATTTAATTATTTAATTTGAGTGTTCCCCTAATTTCCATTGTAATTGAAGTCTTGTTTTGCAGGGTGGCTGTGTTGGGGGTGCTGTGGACTTTTGAG